CCAATATTTTATGTAGTTGTATTAGAGCCTTGAGTTTCAAATAGTTATAGTTATAGTAATAGTTCAAATAGTTATAGTAATAGTTCAAATAGTAGTTGACAGGTTATTCTGCACAATACCGAAGATTTTGTGACCGCAAAATTTTATTACTAAAAAATATTACCACTTGTCACCGCGATTCTAGGTACGTAGGTAATGCAGTGAAAATATTCAGCAATTCAGCTATGAAGATTTGTGAAAATTCCTGTATTGCATATTTCACGGGGCAATATTTTGTTATCAGCTTATGAGATGGTAACGAAAATTTACCGGTTACAAGAGAGCACAGAATGCGAAAAAGGTTTAAAAATTTACAGATACTTTAATTACCGGTTACAAAATTTATGTTACCGCAGAATAGACCTATGAATATATTTTTATGCTTGTTCGGAGATGTGATCTCTGCACTTAATATCAAAAATATATCGTGCAATATTATTAAATAAGACATTGAGCTTTCTGTTGCACGTAGTATCGCAATTAGCATACAGCTCGCAACCATAAAGCATGGTTGGAAGCAAATATTTCTTGGCTAAAAGCAGTCTGACTTTAATTGGTGTGAAGTACTGGGTAGTCCATAAGGAGCGCAACATTCCATACACTTTGCCTATTACTTTAAAAATGTGGTCCTTCCATGTCAATGTTCTGTTGAAAGTCACGCCCTGTTTTTGCATCATCAACGATATTTATTACCGAATTGCCTAGCGTTACTTTTGAATAATTGTCTTACTTACAAGTGTTTTTTGTAAATTTTAATACACTGGAACTTGCTCGGATTCCATAGTAGGCCATTATCAGTAGCCCAGCCATTTACTCGACACAGATCAGCATTAAGATTACGTATGCAAGCATTAATTGACTTTAGTGGGCAATCCAGATATAATTGCACGTCACGGTAGATCGTTCACATATGGGTCAAAATTTCTCAACTGGACCTCGGATTTCAGTCAAGTTCGAATTTTTGCGTGAAAATTTGTGTATAGAGAGGTTTCTAGATGTGAAAGGGATTCTGAGAATTTTTTTTAAAAATTTGAATTTTTAAAATTTTTAGAGGCAAATATATTTTTAAGCAATGTTTTTTTCAAAACCACTTTTCTCTTAAAGTATTTGACTAAAGTTGATGGTTTTTTTTGTAAGCGTAGTGACGGCTTAAAAAAATATTTTTATAATTTAGAATTTTTTTTTTTTAATTTATACATTATAAATATTCAAGTTGCATTAAAAATATGTTCTCAATGAGTTTCACATTTCGTTTATATTTTCGAAAACTGCATTTATTGAAGAAAATATTTGTAAACAAAATTGTTAGATCTTTTCTGTTACTTACAGCAACATTTGTCACAGCGCGCACGCATCGTGAACCATGTACGCTCACCGCCTTTGCACGCAACGTGTTCACTAGAAAGCGCGTACAGGAGCAACTAACAATTGGCTCATATTTCTGACTTTTAACGTAACCTCATATAATAATGATGGCATTTATGGTATTTTTAATGCATTTTTAGGTTAAGTTTTGGAGGTATGTGTTAAAATAATCCCATTAATTCCATATTTTCGGAGTTCACACACAACATTATTACCACGGAACGGATTTTTAGGACCTAAAAACCTACAAAAAAAAAAGGGAAAATAGGAAGGAAAAGGCACTAGAAGGCAAAATAAGGCACTAAATAAAGACAAAAACCGAAAAATAATAAAAAAAATTGATTTATTTTAGAAATATTTATTTTACAGGTAAAAAGAGAAAAACTATGAACTACATAGTTTTATTATATTTATCAAAAATTTGTACTTTGAATCTTTGACTATTTTCTCCATTTGAGTTTTTAACTCGCAAAACTTTAATCTTTATAGTTGTAGTAACATTGAACCACAAGATGCATTTTGAAGTTTTCTGGCAGCATTTTTATTAGATGTTCGCGAAGAAAAGCCTTAAATGTAATAAACGTGCGCTCGACGTGAGTTGATACAAGTGGCGCCCAATTTAAATGTGGAACGTTTAAAACTTTCATATTATCAGGAATAAGGGCTTGCCCTTTACAATTAAAGTTAGTAAAGGCGAATATCTTAAAAAAGGCAACTTCAGATGTGTAAATGTATATAGAATCAGGGAAAGCTAAATCGTAGTTATTCTTAATCGAATATACCCTCTCTCTTTAGCAGAAAAAAGGCAATTTCGATAAAATCCGTTCCCTGATTATCACAAACATATGGGCAAATTTTCGGTGTTATATATGCATCGGTGCACTTTTTATTGCATTTTTAAGACGTTTTTGAAGTTAGGTTTATATGGGAGGTATGCTTTAAAATAAATCGATTTCGCCAATTTTTCGTTTTTTTTTTATTTCTTCATAAATGTTGCACACGGAACATTGAGGTTATACGCCGACTCCTATTTTTCCAAAAAATTGTGTGGGGCTGTACCACTGTGCGACGTTGAACGCTTGAGCAATAACAATAAAAAAATTATTAGACATAAGATTTACATACTTATGGTTGGCTGATGGCGCTAGAACCATACAGTTGCGTGTGAACTCCAAAAAATGGACTTGATCAGATTATTTTAACACATACCAAGTTTAACCTAAAAATGCCTTAAAAATACCACAAATGCCATCATTATTATGTATATAAGGTTATGTTAAAAGTCGCAAATATGAGTCAATTGTTAGTTGCTTCTGTACGCGCTTTCTATTGAGCACGTTGCGCGCATAGGCGGTGAGCGTGCATGGTTCACGATGCGTGCGCGCTGTTGCTGTCAAAAAAAGAGAAAATCTAAAAAAAAAATTTAAAATTTTCTTGAATAAATGCAGTTTTCGAAAATATAAACGAAATGGAAAACACTCATTGAGAACATATTTTTAATGCAACTTGAATATTTAAAATGTTTAAATAAAAAAAATTATTCTAAATTATAAAAATATTTTTTTTTAAGCTCTGTCACTACGCTTACAAAAAAATTTCATCAACTTTCGTCGAATACTTTAAGAGAAAATTAGTTTTGAAAAAAGATTGCTTAAAAATATATTTGATTATAAAAACTTTAAAAATTAAAATTTTCCAAAAAAATTCTCAGAATCCCTTTCAAATTTTCACGCGAAAATTCGAACTTGACTGAAATCCGAGGTCCAGTTGAGAAATTTTCACCCATATAAGACAAACAGCAACGGTCCAAATATTGAGCCATGCGGCACACCTTCAATAACACACAAGAAGCTAGACACAGAGCTACCAACGCATACCGCTTGTGACCTCCCTAGGAGATAATAGGGCATTCGCACGAGGCGATTTTTCAGGCCACTTTTAGTTGAAAGCAAAAATCGCCTCGTCCGAACGGCCTTTCAACTAATCGCTTTCAACAAAGTTGGTCGCCAGCCAACTTTGAGCTCGTTCAACTTTTTTTCCTTGCAACCCTGTGTTTGTTAACATTCTGTATCAGTGTTGGGATATGAAAATGTTCCTTCAGTACGAAATCTATACAAAAAATGTACTTTTCGGCTATAAATTGTATACACTTTTTAATTCGCTCATATATTTTCTTAGTACATTCCCTTCAAGACCAATGATTTTATGGTATTCATGAGAAAGTTTTATTGTTTAGATATGTACATACGTTTACGTATTTTACACTTTTACAAATTGATTCCACGTGCACATGTGTTGCATTTAACGCAAATATGTATGCACACATTTTCAGGTATACATCTTAACAAAAAGCATATTTAAGTTATTGTTAATAGATAAAAGAGACATTTTATTTGGATTCAGTACTAAAATTGGATATTTTAATAGAATTTCAAGTGCTTATCAAAACTTTACGAGAAGATTTGACCAGTTATCTTAATATTATTCAATTTTAATTATTTTTTGTAAAAATACGCTTTATATTTTAAGAAAAGCCGTACAAATCCAAGGTTCAAACTTTGTGCAACATTAAAAAAACCAACACACTTTCGTAAAAATTTCGATCTATTTAATTCGGTTTCCTAGATTTATTTTGAGTGTGTGGTTTTTTAGCCCATTAAATTTTAATATAACTAAGTTTTTTAAGATTTCTTTGATGAAGGTGTTGCTAATTTCCTACATATAAAAAAATCGTCGAACACACTTCGTATGGAAGAAAATGGCTGACATCGTCGACAAAACAAAATTGCCAAGTTCAACGGTAAGTCCCAGCTACTTTAAACTTGCACTTTATTATACTAAAATTGAATGGGCTAAAAACTAAAGAATATTAATAAAGCTCGAATTTTTTACGACAGTATGTTAGTTTTTGGATGTTTCGCAAAGATTTAATCTTGGGTTTATACAGTTTTTCTTAAAGAATACATTATAGTTTATAAACAGATAATTAAAATTAAAGAATAATAAAATAAATAGTAAAACCTTGTCAATATGTGAGTGCCGTAAAGGTATTATATTTAAGAAAATCTCTTCTTATAACTAACGAAGACTTTGTTTCTATATGAAGCTGACTTTGACATTTTGTTTTAATAAAACTTAGTATCGAAAAGTTTCTTTAAAAATTTGGCAAGGTTTGTTATACTGGTTCGTTCAAGCCATTTTTCAAAACTTACAAAGGTAAATACGAACAGGCGAACTGTGAATTTTCAGAGCTATATATTTTTAGTATTCATTACAAAATTTTACCAAAAAGTACTGCGTAGTAGGAAAGTATATTGTAAATGAAATTGTATCAAACTAGTACAATTGTACCAAAAATGCCACCACTGTTCTGTATACATACTTTTTTTTCTTTTTTACTTTTTTACTCTTATTTTATCTTTCAGCTTCGCTAAAAGCACTTCTACCAACGCTTGGCTTACCAAATTTACGCCAATTGATAAAATTTTGCGATTTAAATTCATTTTCAATAATGTAAATAACGATTAGTGTTGAATCGAAAATCGCCTCGTCTGAATAGGGATGGCAACTTTTTCACTTTCAACTTCTCATTCAACTACGTATTCAACTTTTGTTGCCTGTAAAATCGCCTCGTGCGAATGCCCTATAAGATCTGACCAGGCTTACAGCTTGGCTTGAGTTTTAAGCAAAGTAATTTGTGGTCACCGAAGTCAAAAGCCTTTGAGTGATCAACTAAAGTTAAAAAAGTTATATGATCTTTGTCCATATTTTGCCTTATATCGTCAGAGTAGTAATGCAGCTTCTGTTCGCCCGGAAGCCAGATTGATGAATACTAATAAGTGAATATTTACTCACAAAAATGTTTTTTTGGCGATGCATTATTCGTTCCAGAACCTTGGAAAGCAATGTCAAAATGGCAATTGGTCTGAAGTCACCATTTGGTTTCAAAAGAGGGATAATTTTAGACTTCTTCCAACAGCTCGGAAAGACGGACGTTGTCAATATAGTGTTCAAAGCGTATTTAAGGTAAAGGGGAATGAATGGCAATATACATTTAATGAATTTAGGATGGATTCCGTCAAGACCAACGGCGTTGGATTTCACAGAAAGTATGGACTCAACAACATCATATGCATCTACGCATAGAAAAGAAAACGAACTCAAGAAGTTATTAAGACAAACATTATAACCTTCATAACATTTATTACTACGAGGACGAGACAAATTAACAAACTTTGCATTTACTTCATCAACATTTACAGACAGAGATTTTACTGTGGATGCCAATTTCACGAATAGGCTTTCATGTCTGCTTTGAGCTTACTGCAGTTCCGAATTGGTGCTCATAATATTTTAACTTTGTATGAAATTAATTTGATCGTTAGCAGATTGGATCTAGCGAACAGATTTCCAGTTGATTGAATTAACACTTTAATAGTAAATATTTTAAAGTTACGGTAGGAGTAGGAAGACTGGTTGCTAACAGAACGAATGTCGAAGGTGAGAAAAATAAGATAATGTTTCGAGAAATTTGGAGCTATAAGTTGATAATACAAAAGTACACTAGACAACTCGTGAAAACGATTGTGAAAACGGAGAAAATCGGCCATCATTATGTGATACAATACTTTTATTTGAAAGGCCTCAAACGCCCATCCATTATAAAAGCTGAATTAGATTATACTTTGGGCGGGTCTGCTCCTTCGTTAACAACAGTAAAATATTGGGTAGCAGAGTTTAAACGAGGCCGTACGAGCTGCCAAGACGAGCATCGCAGTGGTCGACTAAATGAGGTGACGACTCCAGAAATGGTGAAGAAAATCCACAAAGCGGTAATGGATGATTGTCGACTGAAAGTGCGCGAGCTAGCAGATATAGTAGGCGTTTCAAAAAGTACGGTACATCGCGTATTAGCTGAAGATTTGGAAATGAGAAAGCTGTGTCCAAGATGGGTGCCGCATTTGCTTACACTCGTCCAAAACCAGTGTCGTGAAGAGGTTTCAATTGATTATTTAGCGAATAATGAATCAATGTTTGAATTGCTACCTCATGCACCCTATTCGCCAGATTTAGCCCGCTACTATTTTCTGTTCCCCAACTTCAAAAAATGGCTCCGTGGTCAAAGATTTTCTAGCGATGAAGAAATGATGTCGGCAGTTAATGGCTATTTTGAGGAGCAAGACAGTTCTTATTATAAAAGGGGGATCGAACTTATTGAGCGTCGCTGGGAAAAGAGTATATAGCTGAAAGGAGATTATGTTTAGAAATAAATATATCTTTTCCCAAAATTTTTGTGTTTTCTTTGTTAGGTCGGGTACTTCTGGGACCACTCCCGTAAAGTCACCATGGAAGGGCATATCAGTATGAAAAGTAGATATGTGCTAATAGAGTATGTACGATATCTCTCAAGTGGGAATAAGGTAGAAGGAAATGAGAACAGTTACAGGAAGAAGGAAAAAATAGCAAATATAACAAATAAATTTATAAATTAAAGTCATACATTCTAAAATCGGTCTTAATTTAAAAAAGTTATCTATATTCATACAAAAGTTTGATTACACATGCATAGAAAACACTGATGTCAGTTGTTATTTTCTTTTGAGTTCCATTGCGAACTGCAGAACTTACGGCTATTCTTGGTGAGGCTCACGTGGATGTCTATTCTCCCGTCTGCTTTGTGCTCAATGTCTCGCAGCGCAATAGATCTCGTACTCTGCTTGTAGAAATGTGTTACGGCGCTAAGAAGTCGACATCGGTCGCTAGCAGAACCTAGGTAATTATAACAGCCGTAGCTTTGCTGTTGTTGTCATTATTGGGAACGAGGAAAATATCACGTACCGGTGGAGCAATCATGTTGACAGCGCTACACAGCTTGGAGAAGGTATCTCTTCGGATCTCTTCATGCACTCGGAAAGTTGTTCGATGACGCTCTCTTTCTGCTGGTCCATCTTTACTTGCATTTGTTAAACCCAGTTATTTGACTGCGGGCTCTCGCTTCTTGCACTCTGAGTTATTGGAGAGGCAGCAACTTGACGGGCTGTTTTTTTCTTGTTGTTATCTCGCGGAAACAATATAAAACATTTATTTGTTCATTTTATCTTTTTCTTCGTTTTTTTTACACGAAATTTTCACAATAGTGCGATGAATTAAGGGCTGGCCTGTACGGGACTTTGTTTGAGTTAGTTAAATTATTTTACTGTGGAAAAACGCGAACATATGCACAAAATATTGCCGCACTGTCCGCAACACGTCTACTCAGCACGCTTGCACATCTTCACTTTTGATATCCCACCCACGGTAAAAATAAAATTTTGACCAGTTTTAACAATTTTTTTGTTGTTTAATATTCATAATTTTTTTTGTAGAAGTATAGCCCGCTATCTAACAAAAACCATATAAATCCGAATGTAAGACTTTGTGCAAAATATATAAAAAGTTCAATGAAGTTTCACCGAAATTTCAAACTTTATAAAATTCTTTTTGAAAAATTCGAAGTATAGCCCATTAAATTTTAGTACAATAAGGTGCAAGTTTGAAGTTTCTAGAAGGACATTCATATTTTTTGGACGGTAAAAACATTCTTCGTCGAATCATGACACCCAGTTGTAAACTTACGCCAGATTGCACCTATATTACCCAATATAATAAAAATGCCATCTTTTATTCGGAATATTTACTTAAAACTTTGCGAGCTTGTTTATTTATTTTAATGTGATATTAAACTTAAAATTTTAATTATTCATTTTTTATGTTTTTTTCGGTTCATAGCCTCTGACAAGATTAAATAAAAAAGTAACATTAATCAAATTAAATTTCTCAAATTAGTTCTGAAGGTACATTTTATGCTTAAGTTTGTTAGTTGCTTTAACATGGACTCTTGCGGAAAGTGTGGCAAATCATTTGCGCCAAATGATACCTTAATTGTGCGGTGCAGTGGTTTTTGTCAAAAACAATTTCACCGTACTTGCTGTGTGGGCCAAATATCAGAATATGATGTTAGACTATGTTCAAACAGGGCAGTTGGCTGAGGCAATTAAGCTTTAAATTGCGGCATTGAGTTTGGTGTTCACACACGCCTCAGCTACGCAATTAGCGATACGAAATCAGCTGTTAGATTACCTACAGTGATGGAAAAGTTGGTACAATGGTACTTTTATTTAATTTGAACGTACATTCGGTACAAACACAATTTTAGGTACATTTGGGGCCAAATAACTCCCAGGAAATCGGTTCTTATTTTTGTTGAAATTTCAATGCATTTTCTGGTGCGAGCAACTGGTCTAATAGCTTCCCTCCTTTGTGAAGGGGCATACAAATGATACAGAAGGGTGGTCAAAGTAGCGCACCTGTAGTTGCTTTCGCTAGATAGACAAAATATTTACTTTTAAAATGTCAGACCGAAGAACTGGGAGGAAAGTGATCCACTTTTTCTTCAACATAGTTTTGTTTCGCACCGCTCGAACAGATTCTTTTCATAGCCAAAATTTGTTTAATGTGAGTGTAGAAGTTGATACGGTATCGATGGGAATTGTTATCCTCTTATTTTCTTTATATAGAAATACATATTTACTTTTTAGGCACATCTATCTACTTTTAGGTAAAGTTTTCCGTAAATAAGGTGCAATTTATAATTCAATTTTCCTTCCCTGATGGAATATCAGCTGTAAAAGAGGACCAGAAGCAAACAGCTGATTGCTGTTTGTTCAATAAACATACGTCCAAGTCAAAATTAAACATACCTAGCAGAGTTGCATAGAGAATCTGACACAAATTAATTGCCACAAATTAATTGACCTGAGCACGGACTTAAGCTGCCACACTACTATTTTCCACCTGGAGATCTTTATATCTCGGGTCAAGAAAACAAGCTAACTGCTCTGGTAATACTTCAAAGTCTTCAAGTGCAAGAGTCGTCTTCGAGTGTAAACCGCTTTTTGAGGGAATAAACGATACTGGATTTGAAGTTGGTCACTTGTCACTTTGGTTTCGCTACATACAAATTTTGTTGCTACGTGTAGCGGCTTCAAAAGTGTTATTAAACCTTCCATTATACCCCATCCATGCTCAAATATCTCCAAATTGAGAGCCGTTGACGAATTTGTGTATGCTCTGTCACCTAAAATTGCTCACACAGCTGAGCGATTCCGGTACAGAACATCGCACATAAAATAAATGGAGTCCCATCGAGTAGGGCAGCTTTGAACCAAACGTTCTTCGTTAATTCCTAGCTGTCTTTGTTAATTACGGCTGTCGTTGTAATATTGGAATGTTTAAAATGGGAAACTATTTTCTGAGCTTTGCTTTGAATCATATTGTACTCCTCAATGTTTTGCAGTGCATCTTTAATGCACAACTGCAACGTGTGACCTGCACAATTTATATTATCTTTATTCAAAAAGCGGCCTGCTGCTTTCATGACGTTAGCATTATCATGAACGATAGAATGAACTTTGGTACAGATATTCCAATCTTCTTGTACCATATCTAACATTATCGCGATATTGTCAGTGGTAGAGCGTTCTTCCATGCCAACAGTATTTAGCGTATGTGTACACAAAGACCAGCTATAATCAATGTAGTGTACGGTCATGGACAAATACTCTTCATGTGCCTGGGGGTAAGGCACCTTATATCTGAGATCAACTTCTTTCAGGAAGTTAATAAATCCTTGGCTGTGCGAAAAAGACAATGGCAATTGGCACATACACAGCTATCATTTTTGCGAGAGCTTTGGTAATATTATCTTGTCTTTTTGACGGACAATGAGGCGCGGCTTCTTGCGATGACGATGACTACGAGTCCCTCGGTCTTTTAATCATAACACCTTCTTCATTGTTGTTTGCGGGCTCGGGACTGAATGATTCATGTATGCTAGAATCAGAGCGCTCCTCTTCGTTTTCATCTTCATGCAAAAGTCTAAATGAATCGGAACAGAGTATCAACTTAACTGTCTAGATTACAAACTTTGTATTTTCTGTTTTTTAATTTATATGGGTTTAATGGTGCCTTCTGTTATCATTTTGGTACATAAATTTATAATAGTATGCTCTGATGAAGTAAAGACAGAAATATCTGTTTGTTTTTCGGCACATACCTTTCCTTTACCGATACAGAAAGCTTGTGTTTCTGCTTTAAATGCTTGTGCACAGTTGAAGTGGATCCTCCATAATGCAAATTGGTGTCACATACATTACACTTGACGAATCCGTCATTCATCACACAAGCATACTTCAAAACCCAGCTTCTTTTAGGCATGTCTAAAGCATTAATATTTACGAGTTGATAATGCACGTAGTTATCGGATCGTTAACAAATAAAACTATTGAAACACACCCACCTGCGAATCTAAATGATGACCGACAGTTGAAGAAATTTTTGTGTTTAAATGAACATTTTTTAAAATATCTTTCACAATTATTTCACAACAATACGTTCATCATACTACTTCTCGCTTTAAGGAAACTTCATTAAATAATTTTGATTTTAAAAGCTTTAAATATTTTGTGAAAAGAATCTATAATTTGAACAAGGTGTTACAATAAAAGTACAAAATCTTTAGGTGAATGAATAAGAATAAGGCTTTGTCAGCTTACTTTTTGTACCAAAAGTGGCCTACCAACCTAATGTATGAAATGCACTTCTAGTGTCTAACAACAACAACACAAATGGGCCAACCAAACAAACTACCGAAATTAGAATATGTGACAACAACAATTATATGGGGAACGGCGCCAACTATTAGATAATACGTAACTACTTGACAAAAAGCAACACCAGAGGGAGCCGAATACACAAAGCAAAAAATAAAACACAAAAGAAAAAGAGAACAAAAGTCTGGGGAACGTCCTGCTACAGAACAAGGCGAGAACAAAAGTTTTGAGAACTTAACGTTAAGAATGAGAGGGGCGTCTGCGTGTTCGGAGGAAAAGTAGTTTCAGTGAGAACCAGAAATGTGGTTTCCTAAGCCAGAGGAAAGCTGGATCATTTCAACTTCCAGATCCTTATCATTATGGTGAACCATTTATGGAACAATTTCTCATTTTCTGTGAAAGAAAAGTTCGTGTCTTAAGTCTTTCGTCAACTTT